AACTCTTGATCGGTGGTCGTCGGAAGGAGTGGACAGGGTCACCAAAAGGAGGTGAACGAGAGCTAGGAAAAAGATTTGATTCTTTTCTATTTTCTTCTATATTCTTTTTGTTTTTTTTTCTTCACTCTCTCTCTCTCTCTCTCTCTCTCTCTCTCTCTTGTTTCTTTTTTCTCTTCTTTTCTTTTCTTTTCTTCTCTTTCATTTTTTTCGCTGGAAGAACGAAGAAAAAAAGAATTTATGCCGAGAAACATTCTACTCTGTTTCATGTTACTTTCTTTTTTCCGAGAACTGTTACTACAATAGATTCTGTCAACGATTTTTCGTCATCGTCGTATTCGAATTTATGGTTCAAACTTGAGTGGTCGTATATTTTCATCAATTCCTTCTCTATTTCTCTTTCTCTCTCTTTTTTTTTCCTCTTTCTCTCTCTCTCTCTCTTTCTCTCTACCTGCATTTCCTTTTCTAAGTACACACCTGCAGCACGAATGTATGCTTACGCCGTCCGTTCGTTTTTATTATTTATGTTTTATTTATTTTTTTTTTCTTTTTTTTTTTTTTTTTCTCTAAAATTTGTTATAGGAAAGTTGTCGATATTCGTCGGACCGTCTCAAAGAGAGAAAGAGAGAGAGAGAGAGAGAGAGAGAGAGAAAGAGAGAGAGAGAAAGACGAAAGGAGAGCATCAGTAATTAGTTTGTAAGTTCTTTATACGAGTTCTTCTCATCGTTAGCTGTTGTCGATCCTTTTACACAATAGATCTACTATTAAATCCATTGAATCGTATCAAAGTATTAAACACAATATATGTTTAAAAATATTAGAAAAAAATTGATTTTAAGCGATAATTATAGAATATATAATGACATGAGATATAGAAGATATTCGTAGAAGTTATATTTTTCCTTTTCTCTTTATTTTTTTCTTTTCTTTTCTTTTTTTTTTTTCTTTATTTCTTCATTTCTTCTTTCTCCTTTTTCCTTTACTTTTTCTTTTCTCTTTTCTTTTTTTTTTTTTTTTAAATTAAATTTCTACCTTATCATTAATATTGTACAGTTAAAAACATCGAAGAAAAAAGAAACGAAGAAATGAAGAGTAAGACCTTTTGGCATTTGTAATCGATATAAATATCGAAAGAAGATAAAACCATTATGTATTCTTAATTTACGAAAATATATTCGTCATTTTTTCTCGAATCGCTTCTTCTTTTTTTTTTTTCCACGGTGTCGATTTAATTTAATTTCTCGATATTCGCCTTTCTCTTATTCGATAAGAAGAATATTTTTGTCGGTTTTTAATCTTGTATGCTCGCGGGGATTGATAGCAATTGAAAACGTGCAAAAAGGGAAATAGGGAAAAGGAATGAATGGGATCGTCAAGGAACGAAAAGGATTTGAAAGGTGAAAGAAGATCGAGATAGATCTTAGATCCACGCCAGAATGATTCCATTATTTATCTCTCTCTTTTCTTTTTCTCTTTCTCTCTCTCTCTCTCTCTCTTTCTTTTCTTTGCATTCATAATTTTTTTCTTCCTTTTTTTTTTTCGAGAAATTTCGCTTCTTTCTTCTTTTCCCTCTCTCTCTCTCTCACTTCTTTTTACTCTTATACGCAAGAAAATAAAAAGAAAAGAAAAAAAGGAATAAAAAATAAAAAAATAAAAAAAGATTTAGACGACAAGCAGAAGAACGACCAACTTTCGGAGCTTGGACTAGTTTCCATGGATTTCTGTCAGTGGTAAAATATATGTGTGCATGTATATATATATATACATATACACATATATGTACTACATATAGCAAGCCATTTCGAAGCTTTTCACGCAAGATTCCTTCCACTATTCGTGAAGTTCGACAAGCTCGTTCTTTTTGCAATCGAAACTTCGACGTCGTAATCTTGTCTTCGTTCTGCGAATTACTTCGTTCTGAGAATTCTTCTTTCTATTATCATATCTCAATCATATCGATTATTCTCGTTCGACTTTCGTTTTTCTCTCTCCTCTATGTTAACAAGATCTTATTCTTTTTAAAGATCCTAAATGAAAATTGAATTCGTTAAGTTTCACGTGGTCTTCAAGTAGTTTCCTTATGTTTTTATTACTTATATGTTTTTTTTTGTTTTTTCTTTTTGTTTTTTTTTTCTTTATTTTTTTTGTTTTTTTTTTCTTTTTTTTTTTTTTTTTTTTTTTTTTTTTTTTTACCAAATATTTCCACTAAATCGTGTATCCTTCACGTGTGATAATACATGTCGAAAGTATAAACATAATATATATGTTTATCGAAAATATAAAGATATTTACATGACGTGTAACAGGTGGTACAAGAAGACTCTCTCCTTGTAACGCGAATACTTCGTTAAGAGGTTATTAAGTACCATGATATAATTTTAGAGATGACTGATAAAGTACGACGAAATGATATTTGAAACTTCTTACATAGTAAATAATTATTATCTTCCCTTTTGTATAGACATCGAATGAAAATTATTGCAAAAAGATCCTTTTGTAATTTTGTAATTTTTACTTTGTTTTAATGATGGAGGTTTTCCACCGTATGGAGGTTTTCTTTTTCTTTTTTTTTTTTGTTTTCTTTTTTTTTTGTTTTTTTTTGTTGTTTAATAAACTCCTCATTGACCTATCTACTCCACTTTATTCTTCCATTGTGTACTTTCACTCCTGGTTTTCATAGTTTTCTTTCGTTTTATCCATTTAAAAGGATGATATAGAGCTTTCCTTAAGATATCCTCGTAAATACTCTTTCGCAGATCAGAAAATATAGCTTGCTATATATTTTCAAGAAAAAGAAGAAAGCTCGTAAGCGTCTCGACGAATAGAAAGTCTTAAAGCCCGTAAACGTCGCATTTTAAAAAGCTACAATGATCGATCTTAAAGTAGACGTAACTTATTCTCTTGATTGTTTCTCAATTTTATATGTATTTATAACGTCACGACATTCGAATTATAAAATCTTTTAATTCGTACGTATCAACGTGAAAAAAAAAAGGGGTGATTCCTTTTTTTCTTCACGATCATTCGAGAAAACGTTTACTGTAATTTTCCATTCATAATATTCGAAATATTGAAAAAGAAAATGGACAAACTTTGTCTGATCCTTTTCAATTCTTTGTTACGAAATCTCATTCGAATTTTATTAATCTCAGCTTTAAAAGTTTCTCTTTTACTTACAAAGATCCAATTTTCCTTCGATATTTTCCTTTTTTCAAGCATTTGTAATACTCACTTGTATAACTTCATAGATATTCGATTAGACCCTTTTATCTTTTTTTTTTTTTTTTTTTTTTTTTATAAGTAAGATAAGGAAAATGTTAGAAAAAAAAGAGAGACTTCGGTGATTAATCGAAGGAAAAGGAAAATAAGGTAAATAGGGTGAGTTTGAGTGAAACCTTTGGGTTTTCCCTTTGAATGAACTAATCGAAAAAGTCGAAGATATCAAATGGACTAATCCATATTCTCTTTCTCTCTCTCTTTTTCTCTCTTTATCGTTTTCTCTCTTTCTTCCTCTTTTATATTTATCTCTTTTTTTTTTGTTTTCAAAACTTTTGTTATTTATGTGCCCTTTCACTCGGCTACCTTTTGTTACTCCGAAATGTTGTCGACCTCACGTTTTATCTATTATATCTCACAATGTATTAAGAGACAACTATAAACCTTGATTGAAATACTTTATCCGTACTATATATGAGTTACCTATGACAATTGTATATAAACATCCTAGAGTTGATATTTCATTCTTTTGTGATCTTTACGAAGGATAATAGCCTTTCGAAGGTAATATCGTGTCTTCGTTGTACTGGAAAAGAATCATGGTTGGGACGGTACAAAAATAACCGTAAATAGTTTCTTCGTATCATTTCTTTAAAGAAAGACAGAGAGAGGGAGAGAGAGATTATGTTGACAACCTTTCCAAAATTTTTTACTATTTCCTTTTGTTCTCTTTTAAAGTGTAAGCGGATAAAGGAAAATAGATATGATTCTTCTTTCTTTCTTACTTTCTCCTTCTTTCTTTTTGAAAAGAATGACGAAAGAGAACAAAAGAAAAGAAAAAAGAAAAAATAAATTGTATATTAAAGGAGAGAGAAAAAAATAGGGAAAATAAATATAAAATTTTATTACCTCGTAAAAACTTTTTATTATCGATCCTTTCATTGACGAATCATATATCATTTTGTTAGTTCGAAATAATTATACTCCGTTAATTTTTATCCAGGACTAATTGATACGTTTGATTTATTCGCCTTTGATATATGTGAGAGTACCTATAAAAAAAAAAAAAAACAGAGAGAAAGAGAGAGAGAGTGTGTGTGTATGTGTGTATGTAATATGTGAAACGGAATTGTAGAATTGTTCGAAAGATATTAAATAGTTTCACTTTATTCTATTTTATATTATTATATTAAACAAAGTGCTAGTAACAAAATATTCCGATTGTTTTTCAAAAATAAAACAATTTCGCTCGCACCAAACAAATAACTGGGACGGACAAATTATCATAAAGAAAGATGAAATTTTCCTTAGAAAATGAATAAAGGAAAAAGTAAGCTTAAAAAGAGTGCTGTGCTCG